CCGATCGCCCAAGTTGCACCTGAATGCCTATCACAACTGTGAAACAATCGGTGTCACTGCTTTAGCACACTGGCTTTGGGGGGCAACACGCTAACAGCTGACATCGATTTCACAGTGTATTTCGGAATAGCTCAGGTGGGTTTAAGAGTTAAGTATGAAATTACCAAATCATTTAAAACTACATGAAAACAGTAGTTCTTTTATAAAAATAACTTTTTTGGGGGGATGGGATGGAGATAGGATCTTGCTCTGTAGTTTGCCCTGGTCTTGAACTCACTTTGTAGCTCAAGATGGCCCTGACCCTCCTGTGTCAGCCTCCAAGAGTGCATGGATTACAGGCATGAGCCACCACGCCTGGTCAGAACTTTATTTATAATTAGAAGTGACAGGAAAAATAAATTACAGATCTGAGCTGGGTGTAGTTGCATCCACTTGTAATCCCAGTACTCTGGGAGGCTGAGGCAGGAGAATCAGATTCAAACCCAGCCCAGGCAACCTAGCAGCTTAGTGAGACCCTGTCTCAAAACTTACAAACTGGAAAAAGGCTGGGAATATAGCTCAGTGCAGAGGGCCTGGGTTTGATCCTAAGTGCGTGTGTGCGCGGGGAGAAGAGACACAAGATTTCTGACTTGTAATTATTTTCTGTATGTCAGGAAAAGTGTAATAAATTAAAATATGAAGATTAAGAAAATCTCTGTAGCCAGTATAGCAACTAATTTAACTAAAAAATTAAACTATATTTGTACGTATATAAATACTCAGTAAAGAACTAAAATAGGGCTGGGGGTAGTGCTTAGCATGTGCAAGGCTGTGGGCCCACAGGACTGCAAAAAAAGAAAAAGAAAAGAAAAAATGTAAGCAACAGAAGAAAAAAAGCTAAAACCTGAAAAATGCCATGAAGTGAAAAGACAACCAAATAAAATATTTGGAACTCACATATCTGAGAATTATACTCCAAATACACAGTGAACTCTTACAACTGAAAAGTAAGATAACCCAATTTTATTGAAACAGGGTGTTACTTTGTACTGTAGTACAGGCTGGCCTGAACTCACGGCGATACATGGCAATACTCCTGCCTCAGCCTCCCCAGTGATGTGATGACAGCCATGCACCCCCATGCCTGGCAAGAGTCCAGTTTTAAAATGGGCAAAGGCTCTGCAGAGGCATTCTCCAGAGATGATACACACCTGGCCACTAGATGCTACATGCAAAGATGTGCAATCTCCTTATCAGTCATCAAGAAGTGCACATCGAGCACTCCGTGAGGCAGTACCGCACACATCCAACTTCACGGCTAGCATAAGGGGCAACAGCAAACGGCGCAGAGGATGGAGAAAAGCTGCAGGCCTTCCGCACTGCTATGAGGATGCAAAAGGTTGCAGCAGCTCCTCCAACGGCTAAGGCGAGCTTATGCCATGATCTGCAACCTCACTGCTAGGCGCACACTCCGAAGTGACAAGGTCCAAGTCCACACAGGCACAGATGTGCGCAGCAGTACTGCTCACAAATGGAAATGGAAACAGCTCCAGCACCCGTTAGCTGGTGAATGGATAAACAAAATGAGGCACATTATATAACAGAATATTTATTATTTGGCCATATAATCCATGCTCTCTATTAATGAACCTGGAAAACATCATACCAATTACATTTCTAAGTCTGTAAAGCCAAACTCCAGGTGCTGAACCAGGGCTTTCACTAAATTTCAACCACTCCATAAGTCAACATAAAATTAATCTCAATCAATCTGTCTCTCTCTGTCCCGGGGACTGGACCCAGGGCTTTCCCATGGAGCTACATCACTAGCTTTTTATTTATTTGTATTATGAGATAGGGTCTGGCTAAATTGCCCAGGCCGGGCCCACACTTGTGATCCTCCTTTGCCTCAGGCTCCTGAACTACTGGCATTGCAGGCGTGTGCCTTCATGCCTGGCTTTAAATCTCTTTTTAAAAAAACACAGATAGACTAAAAAAGAAACAAAATGAAGGCAGTAGTGAAGCAGAGTAGAGATGAAAGCCACTAGTGGGGTTTCTAACAAATGTTCAGGGCAGCAGCTGCATACACAGCTCTGAAGTTCCAGAGAAAGATTCTCTGACTTGAGCCTGTGTTAGCTGAGGCTCGAGGAGAGGAGACAGAGAAGGCACAGGAGCCTTGAAGGGAATGAGCCAAGCAACGAAACTAAGAAACAGTACAAGGAGTAAAGCCAGAAACCAAGAGAGAGCGCCAGGAGGCAAGACAAGAACTGTAACAGCACACGCTCTACAGAGGGCCGAGGAGTAACAAATCAAGAACACCCACTGCCCCTTGGCAGGACACAGCCAACAGCAGCGCTGCACTTGGTGAACTGCTTTCAGGAGGCAGGGTTAGGTTGCTTTTTAAGTCTTAAGACTTTGAGCAGCAAGGGAAGAACCAGAGAAAAGAGGGCAATACAGGACCAAGGGACGCTGCCTGACGCCCAGGGACAGAGGGAGTTTGACTGAGGAGTGAGAGCTAGGCGGAAGCGCGTGCCCTGGACAGACCACATTAATGTCAAAATCCATGGCCGGATGCAAAACAGGAAGGCCTCATTTACCTCTTCCTTCGAGAAGAGTTCTGCATAACCGAATTTACCAGGCATGGTACCTCTATAAAAATGAACTGTTAACTATTTTCTTTAAAATTATTCACCAATGTATCATACAGTTCTCAGCCTTCTTAAAGAGAGTGGGCTTTCCTGGATGATTTAAGGTCATTGGGACTATCTCACTGTACTAGGAAATAATATAGTTGAGTTCTGCATTTTAATCTTGCATATCTTTGAAGTCAGGTGTGATGGTGCATGCCTATAATCCCAGTCCTTGGGAGGTCGAGGCTGGAGGATCACCACAATTTCCAGGCCAGCCTAGGCTCTGTTGGCAGTGAGTTTAAGGCCAGCCTGAACTACAGTGAGACCCTGTCTCAAAAAAAAAAAAAAAAAAAAAAA